GGGGTGTTTAAAATATTATTTTTTTTATTGTTTTCTCATTCCTCTCTTACCTCTCTGTGGTGTCCGTAGCGAGCCCTGGATTTAGGTAGCATCTCTCTTACTTCGTGAGCAAGTAGAGCCCAATGGTTATTGTTCTAATTGATTCTGTAGACTCAAAGGCTGGCCTGAACTAATCGGCAGGAAAGCACTTAAGGGAACAGAAGCATTTTGATGTGTGTGTTTGCACGATGCCCAGTGCTGAACTAACGCGATGCTGCCCACGTCTCATTTGCACTTTATTGTCATCTTGGGGGTTTTTAGTGTAAGTGATAGCTAGTTTGTTGTCATGGCTCAATAAGACTATGCCCCATTTGAGCTGTCGTAACTGCCCTTGTCCATGTTCTTCACCTACAAAAAAGCGTGGAAAATGATCTGACCTGGGCTACTGTAACAGCACTAAACCAAATCACCTTAGATCTGTCATAGTTCAACAACCTCACACTAAGGGTTCCCGGAGCTCAGCTGACACGTTGTAACTTACGTGATAACAGAACGTCGTGTCACCCTTTGCCTCTGAAGTTCAAATTTAGTTCCTTTTTTTGTGGCTGGTGAACCCAAAATCCAGCCTGCCCTATGCATACTTTTTACTGTAGAAGGCTTGGGTGCTCGCTTTCATGGTTTTGCAAGTCAGGACACAAGTTGTATTCACCAATATACATTTATGGTCTACCCATAATCCGTGTTGTGCCCTTATACAAGATCGGGGTACGGCAACACTGATGGGATTGAGATTACTTGGCGAGATGATTGTTCCAGTATTACAGCAGTTGCACGATGAATATCACTGGGCTACACCTGAACTTAACTTGGGTACAAGTGCTTTTCCAAATTCACAAACTCTCCGGTTCTCCCCTGGGAGTTGTTTTCTAATGCCTCTAATTATTTACACAAGCACAGAAATTCTGATGAAGAAAACAAACTGAAGATCCTATGTGGAAAAGGAAGCCGGTATGTCCACAAGAGGTTGTTATCTTTGTAACTTAAATATTTAATGTTTTTCCCCTCCATGCTTTTAAACTAAACTTTCGCCCTGGTTAATCTAGGAGTTCACTTACATCTCACAAGCTGAGTTTCTTGAAATTTTGCTAGTTTATTATTAATACTTGCTCTTTGAAATCAAAGTCACCACTGACTTCAAAAGTGTCCATTTTAGATACAATTCCCAATTACTTTATAGTAATAGTATATACAGTAATTGTGTGTGCATGTATATATAGTAACATACACTATATACTATAGTAGTAGTCTATATGTATAGTAAATAGCCCCAGTAAACAGCCTGTAATGAATCTGCCAGTTTGACTGTTACGAAAAATAAGATAAACTTACAAATTGATGATCAACAATCTGGAGCACATAATTTGTTTAAGCTCCAATTCTTCCACTGAAACCAAAGAAGCTCCAGTTAACTTTTAAACATGGGTAAGAGGACATTGAGAAGTCTTGCAGGTGGAAATCAGATCAAACTGTACTTCAAGTCAGCTGTGCTTCCGAATGCGAGGAGACAGAGAGAGCGTGCTCCTGTGCCCTGCGGGAAGAAGGAATACTTACCTTCCGCAGAAGGAGAAAGCGCTTGGTTCATTATTTGGAAAAGACCAAGTCTAAAGATGTTCACAGGAGCAATTTACTTGGTAGTGCATAAGGAGTTGTGGTCTGATTTATGAAGTACCTTAAGAGAGATGCTAGTTCCACTTGCAGAGCAAAACTCTTAGGAAACACCAGTATGCCTCCCTGAACACAAACAGAACAGCTTTATTTTCTTTTAGTTGTGTTTTGTTGGCTTTTTTTTTAAACAAATACCTTATATCACATTTTTCTGGTAACACATACATTCCAATATGTATCCAGGCCTTTCTAGGGGTGAGGCTGCTATACAGACTTTCTGATCAGACCGTTCCATCTACAGTCAGTATTTTGTGAAAAGAGTGAAACTCTAGAACACCCCTTTTTAGGATTTCCATGAGGCTGGTCTGCCGTACCTCGGGTCAGACTGAAAGAACAGACCTAAAATCCTGCAGTTAGCTTTTCTGTTTGGGCCACTAAGTTAAGAATTAGAAGGGAAGAAAAACATCTTTTCTTCCATGACTGTTTGTAAGAACTAAGCAAGGCATGTGTTGGCCTTGCTCCTTGAATGTGGAAGCTTGAGCAGAGGTTTCTGTTCTGGTTTTTTATGACTTCTGTAACTGCCCAGTTAAAGGTAAGCAGCAGAGAAAGCCTTGTAACTTCAGCAGGTGAGTCTGAGCGACCTTGCCCAGAACATCCCTGCGGCCTTTTAGTAGGTGCCAGCAGCAAAAAACCCACTGGGTACTCATGCTTTCAGCCTGCCAGCAACAGCAGCGCTGTCACGTGAACACAGAGAGCACCACTGTGCCATTGAACGGACATTTATACTTTTTTTTTATTTTTACATTTTTAAAAGTCATTCTGCCAATATGATGAATAGTTCTCTTAACAGAACGATTGAGGTTTAAAATGTATTTTTCCCAGCCCAAACCCGAAGGACAGCCTTCCCAACAGCTTGTTTGGGTACAAAGTAAGCTCACCTCACAAAAATCCAATAAATGACTTTATTAAATATATTCTTTTCCTCTAAAATATAAATATTGACTATACTCTTATAAATGTGGAGTAGGTCCATATTTCATTTGTCTATCCCATCCAAATATGAATCAGTCCAAAATCTGAAAATGAAGAAATAGCATCTGTAATTATCATTATTTTTTTCTATAAATATATATAATACGAATTTTCTTTGCAAACTGTTTAGTTATTCTCTTATACTTCATATAGTACTGAGCACCTTAGATTACATATTGTGTCATTTAATTGTTGGTACTAATATAGGAATTTGTAATATTTACAATGCACGTACATGTTAAGTGTAACATTCCAGTGATTTGTAAGTGTTAAAGGAATAAGGAAATAGTGCAGTATAGTTTACATATCTATTTAACCTACCCCACAGTATGCACGTTGTCACTGGAATCTCTGGAACTTTATAGGAGCCTGCGTCCGAATTTTTAAGTTATACTTTGGAACAGCAATAAAAGTGTCCTGAATCGCCTTTTAAAAACTTGACACAACGGTTTACTTGATGATGTGATGTGAGTTCGTACTCCAAGACCCAGTCCCCCAGCGTACCAACTGCTCTTGGCTTCTCAGAAGATGTTCTTCTAGAAGCTTCCAAGCCCAAGGAGACCCAAGAAACTGCCACAGAAAGTTATGCCAGTGGTGCAACTTCATGGTCGCTGCATGAGAAATGTCCGTTTGGAAATTATTGGAAACTTATGTAATGTGTTGTCTCCTGCCTTGTGAATTTACACGAGGAATTAATTTCTAAGTGCAAGTACCGTGACAGTTAAAACAAAGCTCACAGCCAGGCAAACCCCTCCCCGGCCTGCTTTTGACTGGGGAGAGGTGCTGGGAGTGGAGCTGCTCTTCCAAGTGGCAACTGAGCTGTTGTTCTTCAGTGAGTATATTTGGTATTTATGAAGTCAGCCCATCATCTTAATTTATTTAATTAGTTTCAATGACTAAGATACCTGTGGAAACCACCACAAACTAATTCCTATGCTGTGAATAAACAGCATGACTTGCACTTAACTCTCAAGACTTAACTTTGAAACAACATGGAACCCAACTGGGTTTTTAATTTTCCTCTTTGCCAGCCAAGTGATGCTAAGCTGAAACTTACATGCTTTCTCAAGAATAAAAGGTCTTGTAACATGACAAGTGAACTTCCACAACCTTCAGACTTAATTACTTCCTTCTAGTTCCTGTCCCTCAAAGCGTGAATTTAGGGCAAAACTCTGAAAGCAAACAAACCCCTCCCCTACATGAAGCAGTTCTGTTTACAAAGCAAGAGCTACATAAATGCCATCCCGGTTCTGCTGCTTTCTGTTCCCACCCAACCACATTAAGCCAATTTAGCTCCAGGTGCAAGCTGCGGGTGTCATCTCAGGCGGTGAAGGTCAGTGTTCCTGCCTGCTGCCTGCGTCGTGCCCAGTGGAACTGTGAACAAGGCTGAAACTCAGTGATTTGCAAGTTTTGACTTAAAACAATAAGCTGTGGTGCAAAACAGGAACTAGTAAGTTACGAGTACAGAGGTGAATGTTTTGTGTTTCGCCAGCAAGGAATAAATCTGGACTTGCCAAGTCATGCTCACAAGAGCAGTTCCACATTAAGGCTTCTCTGGCAGCGCAGCTCACGTCCCAGCCCCGGTGTGTTTCCTCGCTGTTGTGGAGCTGCTTGAGTAACTTTTCTGATCTAATCTAGAAAACTCGCAAAACCCAGGTCTTTATCCTTCCTCGCATTTGTTCTTCTATGAAGACCACACAACCAGCCTTGTCAGAGCTGAGGGGGTGACACAGTACGGGTAGGAGGACAGGAAGCTCAGTGTGCCTTTCTATTGGAAAACTGCCGTGGAAATGTGCTGGCAGAAGCTTAGGTTATGCTTCAGCAGGGGTTCAGGTAACTTCGACCTGAGCCGGGGATCCCTGGAAGCTGAAACTCATTAAGCCATTCTGGGAAGTCACTATGAAAATAGGTCCCGTGTGTTCATTAGCAAAGGATGCTCCTACACCCCGCTGACAGCCGGCTCTCGGGGCATCGCTGTCGTTAGTCTTGCTTTGGGTCCGGCGCTAGGAATGTGCGCAAGATGTCTTTACCATTGAATTTGCAAGTGCCCCTCGGCAGGGACCCTCCAGCTGCTCCCTGACCACAGCTGTACCGCTCTAGAGCAGCCAGCTCACAGGTCCCCATCTGCACATCTGCCGCTCTGCTGGGTGTTCAAGCACCAGGTTCTGACAGCGCGCCGAAATAAAAATCTGCTGTAAAAGCGGTGCAGAGCTTAGAACAGAAAACATGTTTTACTTTTGGGTGGTGGGACAGTCTTGTTTGGAGAACTTCTACTCAACCAACCTTGACCTTGCATCACAACCAACACCCACTCTTGTCTGCTTAGCCCTTGACTTATTCTATATAAACAAGTACATTGCAATAGGCACAATTTATGATTCTGAAACATTTACACATATGGCACTACACACTTTTACTGTCTCATATGGGATTTAAAAATCCCATTATTTACAATGAAATCCACCGTTTATCTTGTCATGCCACCTTTTTAGCTGATCAAAATGAAACCTGGGCCTCAGAAGGCTGCAGAAATGACCAAGGCCCAGTACTGAACCCCAAGCTGGTGTACGCTGCTAGCTGGTATGGGTTGCTGCTGTGGACTGTACTTCAGATTAGCATGGTCACTCCGTCTTTCTTTGAAGAAACAGATGTATCCTACTTATGCCACCAAGCCAAGTCTTGTAATCTTTGCCGACAGGAAGGAATGAATGATGAACACAATTGGTTTTGGACAGGAATGCAGGTCCAGTTGCTGGAAGCATAGGAAGAAATCAAGTTGAGAATGATTAGATTAGATAACAGCTCAAATGAGCAGTCATTTACAGAGCACTTGATTAGCCGCTGCCTGGTATTTTGAACAGGCTTCTATTAATAACAACCCTTTATTACAACGTATTGTCTTTCCTTTGCATACAGCTGCAAATATTTAGGTTACTAAACATAATTAATAAGCATCTTGAGAGCAGACGAGATCTCGGTTCCTCTGGGCTTGCATCCACCTGGGTAAGCAGCAGAAAACTGAGTCAGATACTGCAAGCAGATTTCCAAGAGGTTCAACCCCTCCATCTTTTCAGGCTCTGTTTCTGACCAGGGATGGTGGTGGGACTGCTGTGTCCGATACCCATTGCATCCCCTGTTGGTCACAGCTGAAGCCAGAATACTGCACCTTCAGCTGATGCTGCACGGTTGCTCCTCTCCTCCTTTGTTCAGTGAGACTGAACTGAGACTTTTTTTCCATAGTCACAGTTCAGATGATCTCACCACGTGCTTACTAAGCATGACAGACTTGTCAGTGTGGACCACAGGTTCAACAGTAGGTTCACATCAAAATAAACGAGATTTGCCTTTCCACCAGCCACATATCAACTTTACTGAGAGCCAGTAACAAATTCTCTTCTGAAAGCCTGACAATAAGCAGTTCGCGAGTATATGTTATCAAAGATGATGTGAAGAATTAAGCACCCAATGTGTTCAGGAACTGCTGAAAAAACTTGGTAGGAAAGACCATGTTTACATGCATAATTTGTAGTATCTAAACTGTAGGAATAAGCAGCTTATTTTTAGGCATTGTAACAGCTACCTTAGAGGCCTAAGCAGACAGTTTGCACTACATCTGTAATCTTCATTTTTTTTTCAGCAACTGGACGGTCAAAAATGTCTAAAACATAACTTGTTGTCATAAAGTTCCCGTGTGTACGCTGGAATTAATAATATCTCATTATGTTCTTCAGCCCTGCAATCATTTAAAAAGTGAAATGGATACATACAAAAATTCTAACATCTGGCTATTTAGAGATACAATTTGTTCTTAAATGTAAGAAATCTTTCATCCCTTTTTTGCATGGTTTTCTCTCTAAGTTTATCTTCTCAAGCCAGACTGTCATGCTGTAGTAGAAAGCATGGTGTCAAAATACTGGTACTGAAACCTGGTACTGGCCAGCTGTTATCAGAATAGAACAGAACAGTATTTCAGTGGGAAGGGACCTACAACGATCATCTAATCCAACTTCCATTAGTGCTTCTCCACCCCCACAGCCTGAAGGACCAATGAAGAGATGGTAACATACACCCACCCATCTGCTAAACGCAGTACTTACAATTTCTCCGTCCTTTCCTCCAAAGTCTAAATAAAGCATCCTTATCCCATCATCTGAGGACATTTTCAGTTTTTCATAGGGATATTGTGCAATTGTCTTAGAGAAGGCACCATCTTGCGGTTCAGTTGTAAGAGAGAATCCATGTTCATAATGGATGGTCAAACGGCACTCCTGGCTTTTATATGTGCAAGCTGAAGAAGGAAACAAACTTTAGTCTGTCATGTTCTTAAAAGCAACAGGCCGCAGATACCTGTGTTTTACACTTGATCTCCACACTAGCTTGTGGAAACTAACCTTTCCTAAAACTGGGCTCATCATGCTCTAACCTGCAGATTTGGCAAAACAACAGAAATCTTTCTGTTGTGCAAGGTCCAAGCAAGGTTTGTTAGTTATGGTGTAACCACACAGACTAAAATTGTGCTGGGCAGTAGCAGTACTGATGTCAGTCCTTTCAGTTGTTCGCTGTATTCTTCATGTTGCAGCGTACATCTACGTGCTGACACAAAACCAATCTGCCGCAGTTTAAGATGGCGCAGGCTGGCATTTCCTCCTTCCAAACCTTGACAAAGTCACATCTACTCTTCTTCTTACCTCTGACAGACATAGCCAAAATCAATAAATGCAGCACACAACACAGGAGAAAATGAGAAGCTGTAAAAGGCTTCCCTGAAGTATTTTGACAAAGATGAAGACATTCTTGAGTCTTTGAAGTCATCTGAATTCTTGAGTAATTGAAAAAGGGCCCAGATAATTGTATATAATAACTACTGCAGCAGAAATTCTGCATCTTCCCCTCAGATCAGAAACACAGGCCATGAACCGAATTAAAAAATGAAAGAGTTTAGGTGTTCACATCCCAAATTCTCTTTTCCACCACTTCCCTGTGAACAATTGTGCCAGGAAGGGTCCTTGGCACTGGGATAAAAGCACCGCCATAAAAGAAGGGGCTGATGCTCTCTTCTGGCTTTTGGAAAGAAAGGCATCCATGTCACTGGGCTGAGGAGATGGACATGCCCTCGAGGTGGTTCCCACTGAACACTCTGGTTGCTTTCCACGTTGAAGGCCCTCCCGGAGCAGCCTGAGCTCCCGGCGAGGCAGGGGGCCTGGCAGACTAGGGGCACGCATCCCCATGTTCGGCAGCACGTGGCTGTACCTGACGGCTTCACGAAATCGGAGCTGCCCTTTCTTGTCGAGCAGATTTGTGCTTTGGCTCTTGCTCCCACATTTTTAGGGAATGACTGGAGATAACATTCAACTTTAACAGCCCCAACAACTGCAGCGCTAGCCGGGGGGAAGGAGTCCCGAATCCTGGGGGCACTCGAGACAAAGGCACAGCCGCAAAGCCCCAGAGCCACCCCAGGCTAGCAGCTACCTGGCCGAACGGGGCATCGCTCCAGAGCATCTGCAGCCGATTACTTTTATTCCAGTTGATTTTGCATGTACAGAAGTGCTGAGGAGTGACACTCTGATGTTCAGGGACGGAAATGACTAGCTGTCAAAATGTGGCGATTGGACTGGTTTGTATTTTTTTACTCAAGAGTGCAGAGGTGGATGAAAAAATGACCAGTTCACGCTTGTGAATGTGCCAGTCCTGCTCTGCCTCCTCCCTCTGCAGGAGAAACTCCCGCCAGGCTCTCGGGAGTCTCCTGAATCTCAGAAAAGAATGCTCTTTTCTGTGGGTTTATGGACAAACCTCTGACAATCACTCCTCTGTGACACGCAGCCCTATATGGCTGACTACAGACCTGTGTCTGAAACAACACACCAAAACCAAGACCAAAAGTCAGAATGACAGAGACTGTGTCACTGGCCCCAGGCACCACACCAGCTGGCACTGGCTCAGAAACCAAAGGGACAATATTTTAAACACACAGAACCCTAAATACGCACATTTTTTTAAAATGAGTCACCTCTAGCAGAAGGAGCTTGAACTACCCAGGGGTGTTACGGGGAGGTGTGGATACGCGGTGCTGCAGGTGTTACTCACATGTGGTGATTTCCGTGATAAGCTCCGCAGAATTGTGGCAGCCCTGCACTACGCTCCTTGTCCACAGTGAGAGGTCTCGGCTGGTCTCCGTCCTGAACAGGTGGGTTTCAATCCCTTGCCTTGTACCGGTACGGGTTGCAAAAGACAAATCCACCCCCGACTGCGGTGAGCCTTTTCCTGGGCCAGAATGGACCAACCTGCAATTGGATTTGAAAACACATCAGTGGATTATAACGCAGTGCCAAAATCCCTACCTGAGCACAGCTCTGCTCTGCACGTTCCTAAAAGCACGTGGTTGGGAGCATAAGAACTCGCATCTCAGTTATTTGAGCCTAAAGTGACTTCTAGTGACACTCAGAAGAGTGAAGGTCCAAGGCAGCAAGTACAGAAGCAGCTGGACATGCAGGTGATGATGGGGATGTCCCAAAATTTCCTAATGAATTGTACAAAACATCCTTTTGGATGAGGAACTGAGAGAAACCAGGCTGGTCTGTGATGATGGGGTTTGGTCCACAGATAAAAGTGCTCGCTCACACGTGGGGGCTGAATCCACCTTTCACTGTCAAGCGGCATTTGCTACAAAGCTTAAACATCTGCAGACAAATGCAACGATAAATGCTGTTGGATAAAGTAAGAAGTTCTGTAAAATGCTTTGGCAGATGTCAAAGTACCGTCTTGTGCATACTTTTCCCATAAGGAACCTGTAAAGTGCAAAATGTTGCAGCTACTTGTAATCTGAAATTCTCTCACATTTTGCTGCAATTAACATTTCTTTTGCTTGGCATCAACAGCTGATCTCCTGTGACTAGGAAAGGTTTGTTCATCTGGGCAAACGCTAATCACAGGGAATATTTTTGAGTGAGAAAATCAACACTTCATAACATTTAATTCTTCTTTAAGACTGCCCTTTTTCTCTTTTTTTTTTTCCCCCTGCAGGAGTGTGGACAGTGAATACAGAATTCACTCAAGGACATGACACTGATTCAGCTGAAAAGAATAATCCAGAGGAGCTCATCACTCTGAGACCCAGAGTGTAACCCTCAGAGGGAGTCACAAAATGAAATTCTTCTGAAAAGCTTATTTCTGTGCTTTGTCTCCTTTTTCCCTTTCTATAGGCAAACAATATACTTCAGATGAGACTATAAAGTAAGTATGTAGCATGGTAGTAGAATACTTGTGCTGAAGGCTAAAACATTAGATTATACCAATCATCTACTGAATGCTAATTCACCCTCAAATTACTGTTTTGCATCTGGAAGAATAGTTAGCTGACACTGTAGAAGTATGCCATCAAACAGAGTTTTAATAGGAAAAAAAAAAAAAGCAGAAAGGAAAGAAAAAGCACAACTTTAGCTTTTCAGTTACTGAAACACTAACCATAGGGCATTTGAAAATCCCCCCCTACTCCCTGGCAGTCCGTGCTGACATTTGAGATGCACATTGTGCCAAACAGATGCATCTCTCTTTCATACCCCGCTAGAAAATTTGCAAGATTTGTCCATGCTCAGGTTCATGGTAATTTTCTTTGGATTTTGAGCATCCACCTTGACTTCATGGTCCCAGCAGGTCCTGAGAGGTGAGATGCAGAGTATCCCGGTCAGAGCTGCCCTGCCCTGTGTCTGGGCAGGAAAGCCTCTTCCACAGAGGCACCACCACCCTCCCCAAATGCTTCTTTGCCTCTAGAAGGGCTGCGTTGACACCCCGCTCAGTTTGATATTCAAGGCCTCCTGACTGCACCCTGGGCAGGTTTTGCAGTTGGGGAGTCAGCAGCAAACAAACAGCCCAAAAACTTTAATTCACTTTCATTTTGTGTGAGGAGGTGCAATCTCTGAGGGGAATCTGCATCTTGCTAATTAGGGCAGGAGATGGGGAACTGAAATCTCCAGTGACTTCTGCTGCTGCCTGTCCCCAGCCAGTCACCCAGGAGAAGGTACGGCCACGGCCACCGCTCTCATGCTGCCTTCTGCTACTGGGGGCGACTGCGGGAAAGCAGCCTGGAAAATCACATCAAGTTTGTCATTAAAAATAAAACTATTCAAGCTTCTCCCTGGGTCATCCCTTCTCCTTCATACAGTGCTCATCAGCTGTGCTAAAAACTGTTTTCTAATACTTGTGATGCTGAATGTGTGGCAGACGGATGGTTCCAATGTTTTATTTCCTTTCAAAACCACCCCCCCCACTCCCCTACATCTTCAAGCTTTATCCACAGCACTGGCATTGTAGGTTTTTCAGCATATGGGTAGAATGAAGATGCACTTTACAATTAAAGTGTGTGGACACATCCAACACAAACATTGTTTCTTGCCTGCCTTCTCATTTGCATTATCCCCTCATTATTGAAAATTCAGTCTCACTATTTAAAAATCCTTTTCTATCATACAACTCCAGATCGTGCTTTGGAAAATCAGGCAGTTAAACATCAACTAGACAAATATGCAGGGGAACATTTGATGGTATTTATGTACCAGCTGTCAGTACTGATGTATTTGGGTACAGGTCAAAGGATTCCCAAGCTTTAATAAAGTTGCATTCATGTGAGTTTTCATTTACATAAAAGATATCTTATCCTAAAACCCACAAAAATACCTTAAAAGGCAAAAAAATAATCTTAGAATCTTCACAGAAGGCTTCCCCTCACCCCCACCTCCCCCACTCCCACTGCAGCAGAGGCTGTGTGCGTGCTGCGCGCTGCACCCCAGAGCCCAACAGGCACCCCAGGGCCGGCTCTGGGAATATTCCCCCACAGTCCCTGCAGGCTGCTGGGCTCCGTGGAGGTTTCTGAGATGTCTGCGAGGGCGCAGGAGCCCGAACACTCCTCCCCAGCGCAGCCAGAGCCGCAAGAGGGCAGGAGAAGGTTGGTCACGATCGAGTCTGCACAGCGCGTGGATAGCAGGCAGCGGCTGTAAAATGCAACTCTTGACATGCTCCGGAGAGCACGCTTCTCATCTTCCCTAATTTCTCCCTTGTCTCGCTATGTTTTGGGGACCTTTTTGTCATTATTCTTTGCAAACGTGACAGCAAGGTGGGTACGGTCCAACATGAAGTGCTGGCGCCGCGTGAGATGCACTGGGACCTGCTTCTCATCCTAATGCTACGAAAAGAGTTTCAACCATTTACTGCAACAGCAAAATCTAATGGCCTCTTCAAAAAGGACAGTGAAACCAGCACTGACATTCAAAGCACGTGTTCAGCTGCTCATCTGAGATTTATCTCAGAAGAGGCTTTGATACAAGTGCCTCAACGGTCATGCAGCTCTGCCCAGTAGGAGGCCACAATCATCTGACATTTCTTATGTTGAAACCGCTCCTTGCCCTGACTGAGCATTTGAAACCCGCTCTGGAATGGCTGTACTCTTTGGAAACCTATGCACAGGCCCTCAGTCATCCCAGCTCTGCATGGAGAGAGCCACAACCACTGTCGCTGCCCTGGGAAGATGAGTGGAGAACTTGAACAGCTTGCACAGCACTTCATACACCTTCCCTGGGGTGCTCAGGGACCCCACTGCTCTCCGCCTGCCCCTCTGCCCACTTGCACAGATGACTAATCGCTGCCCAAACTCCTTTCCCAACTCTCCATGGCATTAACTAGCAAACTGCTTTCTGTTTACAGACCACAGCTTTACACAAAAGCTACTCACCTGATCTTTAATCAGACTGCAACACGGGCTGCTTTAATTTTTTTTTTTTTCATTTCATAACTGGCTATGATAGCTAACGCAATTTGATTGCAAACATTTAAGATGTAATTACTTAAGCCCCATTCCCATGCTACAGGGAGGCACTGTTACTCAGGCATAAGGAAACACTGAAACAGAGATTATGACAAAAAGTTCCTTGGAGTCAGGGCTATGAGCCAGCTGCTGTGCCTCCTGGTGCAGAGATTTAAAGGAACAACTTAAATCTCCTGATCTCAGTTTTATTTGAGCTCTTACTTTTATTCCACCCAATTCTGCACAAAGCTGGGACAGACTGACTGGAAAATATTTTTAGGTCTTAATAGCATCCATAGGTTGAAGGCAAACTTACCAACAAACAGAAAGGGCATGTGGAAATTCTGCTGTTAAAATACTATAAAGATTGTAATCCTTCTACCACTTTTCAATTTTCTCTGCTCATTATGTCTTAGGTAGATTAAGCATGACTCTGTACAGTATCTGGCACTGAAGTTTTCCCAGTTTCAGCAGCTTTTCAAATATGCATGAGCTAAGCAAAAATGTTTTCCCAAGGACTCACAAAAAGCTGAAAGATGGGAGCAGCCAAGATTACAACATGCAGTCTGCAAACTTTCCAGGTGAAAAGTTCTAAATTGCACTGATCAATGCACAGAGGGGATTAGAAAACCCATCACAAGGAGGGTAATCACTGATGGAGCATGAACACAGCAGTCAATACCAACAGCAAACCCTATCTATTTTTTTGGTATAACTGTGCTCAGTGTGACACATCATAAAAGCGGGATCCTGCAGGGTTTTAATCAAAATCATCCAAAACAGTAGGTGTAATGATTTAGGGAATCTGCCAATTTATGTAGTCTGCTCACCTTGGGGATTCATGTATTTATGTGCATTTATCAGATTGTGACTCCGTTCTGAATGTCAAGTTCTATATATCTGCTCTCTTTTTACCTGAGTATTAAATTCACAGCGATATTAGTAAGAAATCACAGAGATGGGGCTGGAATGTTTCTCAGGTCACCCCGTGCATCCCCCTTCCCAGAGCAGGCCTTACTGTGCTGACACACTTCTGAGGGTTGCAGTGTCACCTTCAAAGACCCCAGTGATTAGGATCGTACGCCTTTCCTACAGAATCTAATCCAGTACCTCAGCCCCACACCAAGTATCTCCCAGGACCTACCTTGAATTCCCCCTGCCATAAATGCAGCCAACTATGTCCTGTTGTATCTAGCAGGGACCTGGAGAACAAGCTCTTCTGTCCTTCCTATGTCTCCTCTTCATACTTGAAAACTATTGACATGTTTTCCGTGGACTTCTCTACATTAAACAACTAAGGTTTCTTAAATAGTCTCCTACTGATAGTGTTTTCTAGGTCTTACATTTGCATTGCTTTCTTGTAGACCTTCCACAGTTAACTGGCATCTTTTTGGAAGTGCAATGCCTCACATGAAGGTGGTGTATCACCTGAGGCTTTACTCATGCTCTGTAGTTAGGTATGATTGATTACTACATCTGCCCAACATGCAACACTTCTGCTATAACCCAAGACGATTGCCTTTATTTTCCCCGCTCAAAAACGTAACACCGTAGATTTAAGCAATTTCACCACACTGCCTAGATGCTTCCTGGCAAAGCAGCCAGTTTGTTGCTCATTTTCCACCCCAAACCAGCACAGCTGATTATTCCTCAACACTGAACTTTGCACTTGTCCTTTCTGAACCTTTCTTACAGACCATTTCCCCCGTCCATAAAGACCCTTCAGCCACCTGACACCTGTGCTGAGCAACTTCTCATCCCCCTCCAGCCTGAAGACCGATGCTCCTCCACTCCCATGGGAATCCCATTGGACAGGCAGGTGACTATCCCCACCCAAGGCGAGCTGGTCTGCTATCAAATCTGAACTCCTGAGAAAAAGTAATTCACTAACAGGCCCTCCAAGATGAGGATTTGGATTGTTTGATGTGGTAAATCGGTGGTCACTGATGACAGGGGCTGGCAATGCCCACCAAGGGGCTGTCTTTACACAGGATGATGTGTAAGGGTGCACTGCAGGATCTCCAGTCACTTTAAGGAGTAGGACTTGGGTCCACGTACAAATAACACCCCAAAACAGTGAGGAGGAGATGTATCACCTTCTGTTGGGGCGCTCTTGCTTCAGAAACTCTGAGGCTTAGTGGCACACCTGGACACAGCCTCCAGCTCCAACATCTCACCCAGTTTTCATTGGGAATTGTCACCTGGAATTGTCAACTTTCACTGCCACACCTCGTGGCAGGCTGCAAGCTGCAAAGCTTGGGGCTCTCACCTCACGTTATGGTAACAAAGGGTGAGTCAGGAGCTGGCTTCCCAGGAAGTCCGAAAGCCCCATCACGGGTAGATAGACTGGGACAAAACAGCCATCAGTGTAATTCACTGAGTTCAATTTTATTTTTTCTTAATATAATGATTTAGCAGTAAAGCCTCAGCTCATTTGGGGAGAGAACTAAGAGACTGAGAACAAAAATTAACTAATGAGAGTGCAATAAGAGACCCACTGCTTTTGGCCATGTGCAACCAGCCCTTCTGAATGAGAACTCATTGAAAATGGTATAATAGAGGCCTGTAGCAAGGCCAAAACAATGAAACAGCAGCTCTTTCTCAAGCCCTTTGACCCTACTGGCAGACAAACATGATTAAGATTCACATCAAGAAGCACAGACAGTTTCCACTCCATAAAGACAACCACAGGAAAGCTCTCTCTGAATTACTGTTGGTTACCTTCAAAATAATGCGGATGTTTATTTCCAACCTAGATTCAAGAGTGTGTCCTCCAAGCTCACCATTTTAAGCTAGAAAAGCCAGGAATTCATTTGCTAGAGCAGGAACAGAAGCCATGCTGAAGTTAAGTGTCTCCATCACATGTGTGATCCTCCAAAAGCCCCAAACAGGTGGTGCAGAACTGCCACGTCAGCACGTCCAACTCAGGGCAACAATTTCACGTTTTTCAGCCTGGAGGAGCAGCTGGAAATCTGACTGCTTCTGCCAAGCCCTCAGGTCTGCACACTGAGATAGAAATCTCAGAGGATCGAGCTCTTGGCTTTTTCAGCTGTCCTGCCTCTGGACCCAGGCCAAGTGTCCACATCCACAATCCTTTTGGTGTGCTTCTGGCCATCAGCCTCAGCCAGAACTTGAAACGGAGAAGAGAGGAGTTAAGCTGAGCACATCGGCCCATTGTAGAAGAATCTGCTTCTCAAACCATGACATTTCGAGTGTGATATATAGCTATGCACCAGCTATACCTGCTCCCGGCTGACTCAGCTGTTCCCACCGCCCTTGGAGGAGCCATAATAAAAAAAGCACAGGTACCTGGTGGCTAGCAGGGGGTAGGTGTGCAGAGGGCTGAACCAAGCTTCCTTCATCCGTGGCATGCTCTCATATATTAAGAGGTCTTTCTCCGTCAAGACCACTAACACTGGCTTCCAGTGCTTCTCGTTGTCTCCTGGCACCTGAAAAAGAGCAAAGCTTCAGTGAAACAAAAGACAAAGATACCATTGTGCAAAGCCTGATGATATGAACATGTCAAGTCCTGAAGAAGATAACGAACAAAAGAGAGTTTTATTTCTTTGGCTTTTTCATATCTCCCACCTGGATTTATAACCAGCTGCAGCAGAAATGGAGTACAGTGCAGTGACATCTGCTGCTCTCATTAGCAGTGCCATTTCCAGCCCTCCTTGCAGCCTTCCCCTACTACAGGCTACTCCATAAATGCAGTAGTGGAAGCACACAGAGACAGAACGGCTGTTATTTAGCTGTGGTGTGCATGAAAAGACCTTAAAAGTATACTTACAATGTGCACCATTCATGTGTAGCTGGCACATTAACCTGAGTGCTGGACGCTGCTGCTGCTGTTCGTATTTTCATGAGTGAAAAAAGCTGCAACATCATCACTATTAAAGAACAATGTCAAGTAGTAAAAAATAGTGGTTTGGGAGCAGATGTTTTTTTCCTCAGCAGTTCATCTTTGCACTGCTACTCCCTCCTTCATACTGTTCTTCTAGTTTTATAAGTGCCAGTTTATAAAAAGACCCAACCTAAACATGGGGTTGATCTGAAGTACTGACTCAGTGACAGATAAGCATCCCCATTTCAAACCCATCTGTAGAAGATGTCTAAAGACTGGGGCATCAGAGCCCTTTACTAGCTGCAGAATCCAGATATGGAATTATATCTTGCAGGTTAGACATCTGGTAGTCCACATGGCTACACAATCACTGTTATGGCGACCAAGTACGCATCCTGGTTTTTACTTATTCTACTCTGGCAGCACAGAAATGTCTTAAAATAGACGGGAATATGAAAGGGTCTTATTTTCAAGTAAGAATGAAGCTCTTGTCTTTCACAAACAAATTCATCATTTTCCTTTTGGTGCACATGAAGAAAAAGAAACCCCATTACACAGCAACACTCACAGCCGTGCTTTCAACCCCAAACATCTTGGCTGGATACTAAAGGGAATGAAACAAATTCTGAGATTCACCAGAGAATCCAGTTGTTTACATGACCCCTGCATTAAAACGTTCTCTGGGAAAGAGAAGCAGTTGTCTACGTTGTTTGATGGCTGATGCCAGCCTGCTTGCCATGGGCATGTGTCACTGGGTAGAGAAACATATAAAAGGGATCAATGAAAGGTTGGCCAGGCTGGAAGTGGCATAGACAGAAATGCTAACTCTGATCCTTAAGTACGATGTGCCTTAACTGATGGATTCAGATTGAGAACTGACATTTGAAACACCTGCAGTTTATATGAAGACAGGGTCCCACTAATTTCTAAACCTTTAAGGACTTTCAAGACAGAAGACAGCTTCACACTAGAACACCAATGCCCAAAGTAGATCTTAAACCGAGATTTTTGGCTTGCATAATTTTTAAGAGGTGCTTTTCCTTCTGAATTAAGCTTTTCCAATAATCGTATTCCTGTTTACAGCATCACGTGCTCCCTGGTTGTCCATGTCTGTGTGTTAATCAACTTGAAGTCATAAGCGGTTCATCCTTTTAATTTCTTCAGAAGCATCAATACTTATTTACAATTTTCTTGTGGTGACAGTTTCTTGAAATGCAACCTTTCGTTTTCAAATAGGACTGAATAGAGAAGCTGCATAATTAACACACCTATTAATACACTCCAGAAAGATGGAGATCTCGCAGCCCATGTACCATGGAAATATTCACATGAACAAAAAGCATCCTCAGCTTCTTCATACCACAGTTGTTAACTACAGTTAAGATCCCAGTTCCTAGCGTGGGAATGTAGAAACAAATGTTACAGTTAATGTCAACATTTAATAACTGTTACAGTTAATGTTAACATTTAATTTTTGAGCACCTGCCTGTGTTCTTTAATTCAGAAGATTTTAGTACATACTTTTGAAGATTTCCAGAAAAGAAAAAGGAAGATAAATATGAAGTCTGTCATAGGATGAAAAAGCAGGATGTTCAGATCCATAGTCTGGAGGAGTAAGCATACAGAGTACTGGGCTGTTATCTCTTTATTTTTCTATTCTGTCACCATAAGCAATCCAAAGACTATGGGAAACTTCTCACAGCTTTTCTGCAGAGCCATCCTACCTGTGTAGCATTTTCAATCATGAGCTTTGCTATCAGGTGTCTGGTCAGACAACTGTAACTCCAGAAATTTTGTGAAACAGTTCCCCGTAAAGCAACCACAAGAAAGGGATAAAACTAATTTTGCCAGCTCGTCCCACAACTACTTGCTGGACAGCAGTAAACATCAGAAGCCAGAATTTCCAGCAAGGATCCTGCAGCAGCAAAGCCCACAGCTTTGCCCGAGTCCTTCCCAAAGCCAGGGTGACTATGGAGATCTGGGTCACTCGTAAGGCATTGAAGGCTTGTTCTCGAGCATAAGTGGCCTTATACTGCCCCTCCTTGTGAGATGTATCCCCTGTTTGTAGGGTGTATACTGGGAAGGGGAGAGAGGAGAACAATGTTTGCCTGCATCATGTTTGCAAGCCCTCCCCACTAAGAAGGGCCACACAACACACACATTTTTTAAACACATTTTTTAAACCTTGCTGGGACCGTAGCTGTCTCACTGCTAAGGAATGCTGGTGTAAGCAATACCGCTGCTATTTCAGACCTGAAGAAGGATTTGTGTGCCTGAAAGCTTGTCTGTTTTTTTTCCAACTGTAACAGCTGATCTAATAAAAGATATTGCCTTTCCTGAAAAACCTTGAATTGCATTACTGTTCCCCGATTTCGTTGGGGTTTGGATCAGGCTTTAACAGCTGATGCCGTGCTGTTCAACAGGCAGTTGGCAGTTCTGGGAGGTGTCAAAGAGAACACTCTGTCCTGTAAATGGTAATAGCAAATTTTACAAAGGAGGAAGAGAGGCTGCAAATACACCATTAGCCTACAGGGCAGATTCAGAACAAATCAGCATGGGAAATTAATCCAGATCAAGCAAGTGTCATACCAAGCATGAATATAATAGCAAATTACAAAACAAAAGCAAACCCCATGCTGCTTAGGGGCAGTTAAGTGAAGGATTTGTTCAAGTTTTAAAGGTTTTAAAATGTGACATATCATAAAGATAACATGAAATACTTCCATAAGCATAAATTTAAGTATCATTTGAGACACATTTTAGAGGCACCGTTTTAGACAACGGTTAAGGCCAGCTTCATAGCCAGAATTTTGCAGCATTCTGGCACCAGTCCTACAGTTTCTTCGCTCCAGTTCCCATTTGCACATGTACAATTCAAAGTGCATTGATCTGCATGGCAGACAAATAAAATCACTATCCACTCTAAAAAACTTTTCGAACTCAAGCCTTTTTCAAACTCAGATCAAATCCAGATGAACAAGAGACAAGAAAAATCAGTACTCCTCAAACCTCCCACCACAATAAAATGAATCAGCAAGTTTTTTCCTGAGCTTCTGAGCACCGTTCAGGTAACTCTAAGCAACAGGTACCAGTGCCTGCTCTCCATGTTCTGCTCATCTCAGCTGAGGTAACTGCTTATATTCTCAGGTGAAATTCCACTTCAAGTCAATGAAGCTGTAAATGTTTGCACCAGAAGCAAACTTGATTTGTTTGGGCTTTTTTTCTTTCCTAGACACATTGTGCCTCTAGATCAAAGTCTTCAAGTACAAACCTGAAAAGGGAGAGCACACTCTAACAAAAAAAAACCCCAAGTGTGGTGAAGCTTCCTTTTTGCTACTCGCAAACCTCTTTGCTCCTCACAGAATGACCCAGTGAAGTGCAAACCCCACTTTTTCCCATATACACCTGTCTTTTACCTTTCCAAATTCAGAAAATATGCCATGTACAGCAGGGATGAAACCTAATTTTTTTGTGTATAACAGCATGATGCTTGGGCCTGGGATGACACCAGAGACCTGCATTCATGCCTTGCTCAGCCACAGGCTTCCTCTGCAAAGTCAGTCTAAATGCTTTGTGTTTCCACATGGACACCCCGGTCTCTGCTGGGACGGCAAGTGCTGCTGTAACACACGCAGCAGGAACAGACGTAAATGTGAAGGTGGCCAAAAAGCGCGCAAGAACGGCTGCTGTATTTCAGCAGCTACATGGAGACTTGTCCATCAGCTTTTGGCCAACACAAGAGCAAAAGTGCTTTGATGCAGAAAGCAGACGGCTCACGCGGCGTTAGGACACACCAGACGCCACTGCACCGAGGATGTGCCTGAGCTCTGGCTGCTCCTGGATGCCTTTGCAGTGCTGGGGTAGCATCGCTCCAGGCTTTGCTTAAGGGCCAGATGTGCAGTCTGAAGGACTGACTCTGCAAATAAGGACGTATGAAACTCAACGCTACCTGTACGACTGCTCCTGCTGATTTTCTGGCAGCTGCTTGAGTGCTTAAGGCAATGTACCCTCAAAGAGTAACTCCTCTGATACAGAGCAAACAATATTCCAAAGAGAAGCCAGCTTGTTCTTCATGCAGGTGATGCGGACCCCTGGCCCCTTTCATAGGTATCACAGCTTCCAAATCTTAATAGTTTTCACATACAATTAGTTGCCACAAAGACAACAGGCATCTCAGTGGAGATAAATCCTTTTAGAAATGGTTTGGCCCTTTGCTCTTTCATCTGCCAGGTCTCCTTTTCGTAAGGTTTTTCTTTGAATTTCCGTTACCTATCTACTTCAGGCTGCCAGGAATGGATGAAAGAATACTTTGAATCTACGAGGCTCACAGATAATTAAATTAGAGGCCTTGGTCTACTCTGGAAAGCTGTTTGATATTTTCATTAACTCAAAAGGGACATTTCAATTACATTCCCTATTTAGTAAACAAATTATACATTGCCAGCAGACTCCACTGCAGCAAGTATCAAAATGTGGCCTTTCAGAGAACTGCTATGAAGGTAGAAAGTTTATGCCTACAGTAAGTGGTTTCACCCCCTTTTCCATCACCCCCCTGCCAAGTCCCAGAGCTACACTATCCCCTCACACAGAGCACAGGAGGAGCAA